GAGCCATCCAATGAGACGGCGCACATCGATTGGCTTCGAGCTTGCGCGCGCTCTGAGCCGCGAGTCGACTGGGAGCGTGCAGAGTGCAAGGCTAGGTGGGCGAAGACAGGATGAGTCGGTGCTGATTGCAGGCAACCGTTAGGGCACCTCGGTTTCACGAAGAGGTCTTTAGTGAAGTGAAGTTGTCGATAATGAACATAAAACAGCTGGTTCCACTTTCAAGTGAACACGGGGTCACATGTCGCTTCCTTGGACAACTTTTATTTGCATTGGTTTCTCTAATTAAAACCATTGGGTGTGGTATTTCACGGTTATCTACGACAGATCGCTGGTGTGCTTCCCGGGCTTCCTGTTTACTTGATTCGCAGCAAGGATCTATGTAATATGCAGGTTTATGCTCGGAGCCGACATCTGCACCTACTGAACGGTGACTAAGTTAAAAAATTCCCGATTGTCATGTCCTACGTCGTTGCTGTGCAAAAATATCAATCCCTGCGGGCTGTACTCTCCAATCCAGGATGCGGTGCGTCGGGGAAATAATTGAAAAACTTCCCAACCACCTTCACGCGACTGATTTGATTGTACCAAAATAGTAGCAGCATTCTGTTTGGCATTTTCTGTGCAACATGTTACCATAATTCCCAACGCCAATCCCAAGTGTAAAGAATGTTTTTCCTCCTACACGGAGTATTTCCCAGGAATGTCCGAAACCAAAATACGGCCGGCTTTTGTTACATGTACTAGTACAGTGCAAGTCACCGTCCTTGTACTAACGTGTAGTGGAGTATACTGTGGGCATAGTCGAAATCGACGATCGAACTGTCAGTACAGGACTAATCGCCCTGAAGATTTAGGGCCTCAGGCATGTTCAAAAGATGTTATGTAGCATCTAAATCTAACACCTCCTAACCTATCATCGAAATGACCAGCCGAGTGGACTCTACAAACGATTAGACCTGATAACTTGAGGCCGAACAGAAAGTCCTTTCGGTTGTACTCCCGCAGTACTCCGAACCATCTAAACATTGCGTTAACAGTCCAATTTATCCTTCTCCGTCCCCCATGCCTTTGATCCAAGCATTGGCTGCCTGGCCGACGTGTCACGAAAACACGAAGTCTGCACTCAGTTTATAGATGCTGCCCACAAGCAACCGACTGCGGGCGATCCTAGCAGTTGTGAGGCAACCTCTTAACCATTTACGCAGTTCCTATAAACCCATCAGATACGTCTTTGAGTAAAGGAGAAGACGGATCGAGCATCAGTAAAGTTCGTTATTATTGGGATATTGTGAACCCGTGTAGGAGTTCGTTGTAAGGGATAGTGGTAGCAGCAGTAAAAGGCGCCAATTATAGGGGATGAAAGCCAATCAATTATCGGTGACACATATATGGGAAGTAAATCAATCGATGTATCGAGTTTGCGCCGGCGTACAGAGCCCATGCAGTCACCTTTAGATGTGTGGCCCTTAAATCCTGCGTTTTTTTGTCAACATTTTCTGTACAGATTTGTTCCCGAAAATAATGCTTACTTTAATTGCTGTTTACCGATTCTCAACAAGGCACTTCGCGACAAGTCGGTCTTGTTAGTAAAATTATGGTTGCCGTACAGACAAAATACAGGAAGCGTTTGGGACAAAGGAGTCTCGCTCACCAAAACTAGGATTTTCTTTGCCTTATGTTTTTAATTCCCGTCCTTTAGTAGAGTAAAGAGGGGAGTGAACGGACGGACGGACAGGCGGAGTGCTGCGGTTATAGGACTGACAAATGCATTTTCGAGCCTAAGCGCACTTAGAGTTCAATGCAAAAGTCCACCATCAACGGTTTAATCAGTGTCTAATTTCACGCTGG